AGCATTAGCATTGTAAGTAAACTTTAGCTTTTCTTTTTTTTCAGTAAGAGGTTTTTATTTAATAGAATTTTTGGACAAAAAAATCGCAATATATCGCCTTATTTACAGTACTGCAATATATCGGGATATATCGGGATGTATCGTATCGTGACCCCTCTGTTATGATATGTATCGTATCGCCAAATTCTTGCCAATACACAGCCCTAGTTAAGACACACCCATTCAAGAAGACATACAAGACAAACATGGGAGAACAAGTGAAACCTTGCAGCAAACACAGTTGTGCTACTTTTAACAACAGCTTGCAAAATGCACAAAAGGAAAATTGAGTTAAAGAACCTACGAGAGAGCAACACAGCCAGTTAACACATAAAGATAAATAWTTTAGAGACATTAGATTAGATGTAATATTCCTGTTCTAAAGCTCTGGTTTGTTGTTTAAGTGAATGTCCTGTGGTTGAAAGGTGCACCAGTTTGCTCCTCAGCTGTGCTTCAGTACCTGTGGTAAAAAGCTGCTCCTGTGAGGACCATAGAGTAGTCATTGGTCCACTTGGAGGTGTAGCCCCAGCGTGACCTGGAACTGTCCCAGTAGTGGCTCCTGGCAGGATAACCCACAATACGCTCTGGAAAACTTTGCCATACGATGAAAGCAAAATCCACCTGCAGAGAAAAAAATAAATAAACCAGAAGGAAAACAGCAGCTGGCTTTAATGTGTAACATTTAGAACAAGCTGTCGGCAGAAATGCAGCAGAATGTTTTATCATTAGTCAATAACTTAATGGACTCATTTGGTCTCTGCTTGTTTTGCTGCCTGTAGATGTCACTAAATCTTCTGCTCCTGACCTTTTCAGCCTGCTTTTAAGATGGGAAATCTTCCTAATTTATGCACGTTAAGTTGTAAGAGCAGAAAAGATGTTCACCTCCTGCTTTCAGAGCTTTTAGCTGAGGAAACACAAGTTGGGACAACAGAAAAGATGACAATGTGGAACAATAAACTGACCTCCCTGGCCGAGGCAGTTCGTCCGTCTGTTTGTTACAAACTTGTTCTCAATAAAAACGACTTTATTCTGTTTTAAGATGCAACTCAGCCTTTATTAGGTCTGTGTATAAATTACTGAAGGCATTACTGTTTTCCAGGTGTTTGCCACCTCAGGACCCACTTCAGGCTGCCGACTATACCAATAAATCAGATCTCTCCTTGTCTGGAGCACCTGGTGTCCTTGAAGGAGCCTGATCCATCTGACAAAAGAGCCTCTTTTGAATTCAAAAACACCACTGAGACACACTGGCAGACACACCTGAGAATAAGGGGATCAGCACATAATGAAATACTTGGCCACACATACACACACACACAGACACACACCCCTCAGGTGTGGCACAGAAAATTAATTACCAGAATAGTAAAGAGAGGAGGTGAGGAGGAGAGCGGCACAAAGTGGATGTTCTTTAGCGATACCTTGCGGCTTCTGTCATGAATCGTGTGAACAATTACTGTAAAGCATCGGCGCTAAGCTCAAAGAAAGGTCGCAGCTGCCGTCAGTGCAGACATGTTGACGGTGTGTGTGGCTGGAACCAGAAATCCTGCAAATATAATGTTTCCTTCAGAGATTAAGAGGTGAAAGAGCTTGTGTGTGTCGGTGATGCAACATAAAAATCTTCAGGCTTTAAAATGGGTTTTATTTTCTTCGCACTTTTGTTGCTGAATGGTTTAATTTACAGGTGAAAACAGATAGCTCTCCGTGATATAAAGAATTCAATCAGGCACTCCACGGTTCGACAGAAATACAACTTTGTGGATGTGTGTCATACATACGAACAGATTCTCCAAGGCCAACATTGATTGGAAGATCAGAGGGTCAATCCTGCAATAGATCTGTCTCAAGGCTCTAATGACATTTGGGTTTAACGTGTCCAACGTTACGAGACAAAGAGCTACAACACATTTTAGTCCTCTACACTCCTTCAGACGTTTTATACCCTGGTAAAAACCAGCCCCTCGTCCCTCACTTTGCTTCATATGAGGGTCTGGACTCTTGGTTATAGAGAAGAGATTCTTGCTGGAGGCGTGGCCTCTGTTAAAGTTTAAAACGATTGGATTGGTTGGCCCAATGTATGTGTGACATATGCCTGCCAGCTCCACTGTGAAGGAAGCTAAGCTAAGAAGCTAACCAGAAATAGCACTGAAAACAACCCTACTGAGAGGAGAGAGGTACCGAGCCGAACAAGACGACTGTAAATGATGGTGTTTCCATCCAGTTGTTGAGTGAATTTTATTGAACTTTTCAAAATTCGCAAAAAATTAAATAAATAAAAATTCGAATCTAGACTGTTTCCATCTAGTTTCCCTCTCGACTGTTTGATGAGAATAAACGAGGCTACGCAACACGTGATTACGTCAGACGAGGCTACGCAACGCATGATTACATCAGACGATGCTATGCAACTCATGATTACATCAGACGAGGCTAAGCAACACGTGATTACACCAGACGAGGCTCCGCAACGCATGATTACGTCAGACGAGGCTACGCAATGCATGATTATGTCAGACGAGGCTACGCAACGCATGATTACATCAGACGAGGCTACGCAACACGTGATTACGTCAGACAAGGCTACGCAACGCAAGATTACGTCAGACGAGGCTACGCAACGCACGATTACGTCAGACGAGGCTACGCAACGCGTGATTACGTCAGACGAGGCTACGCAACGCGTGATTACGTCAGACGAGGCTACGCAACG